AAAGTGTTATCCTGACACAGTTGATTGATTAAACGAATAACTAAGTACTTCTTACAAGTTTAATTTGTCGCATTTTATCAATTTTAACTTTCAAACCGCCAATTCAATTTTGTGTTTTGCGTAAATTCCTACCAGCTGTTCGCGAACGCAAAAAGCTTATAGTTTTTGATAACTTTCAATAATTAACAGATACGTGAATGCGACTAGAATCAGTGCTGCCGAAAGTACTACTATATGAGTTTTTACTACTATTGTGCCATTCATACTTCCGTACTCCCCAATGACCGATTATACTACTATTTTGCCAGACAGTTTACTTTTTTGATAAACTTTATAAAGTAACTCAAACGATGTCGCATCGAACACTGCCAAACCTTATTGCTTGGAATGATTTCCGATCATACTTTTCCTTTCAAGTTTTATTAAAGTTTCTTAAGCCATAATGTAGCATTATTCAAAACTTACGACTGCAGTGATGGATTTATATTGGGTATAAAATTCTTTTTCACTCTTGGAGGAAAAAACATTTATTGTTACTCCACAACAAGCTTTTCAGACGTTGTGGCTTTTGGCGCTCAAGCCTTAATATAAAACTTATAGTGGAATAGAGCGCTGCACGCCTGGAAAGCTTGTTTTGGAGTTGTACTCTTAAGCTACACTACAAATACATATGGTCAAAAATTTGGGAATGAGGAAAGCGGTGAGACAAATTTTTCTTTGAATCACGTGTCAAATCTGACATATTTTGTTAATATACATCGTTATGCCGCAGATGATTTATCGATGCGCTTTACTATGATATAGACATAGTGCAGCGAGTTAAAATTCAGCGGGCCCCGCTGGCTTGGCCATGTCGATCGAATGGACAGAAACGCTCCTGCTCTAAAAGTGTTCAACGCGGGCCGTGATGCCGGTAACAGAGGAAGCGCCAATAAAGAAAAAGAAGAAGTAATGTCTTTACTAATTAAATAAAGACAAGGCCCTTCATTTTGCAAGAGGTGGTCTCGCGAACAGCTGTAACGGTTTTTTTTTTTAAATTTTGGGGCACCTACTGCAGACATTCTAAGGATGATTATAGGCTGATAATAATGTCGATATATCAAGATAGTGTGGCATCTCCTATACAGATCGAATTTTTCATACCGTATATCTCTGGATCTATTTGTTTTAGAGCGCTGGAGTCGAGTTATTGGTAAAAATCGTCGGAGATACGAGGGATCAAAGTCAAATTACCACCGTTAAATCAACCAGCAGATAGGGGTATTTGGCCGATTTATGCGGCCAAAATTATTTTTATGAATATTTCCACTCGAAATGTTTAGAAAAAACGTGTTTGACATATAGAATTGTAGATGTTTAAAATCAAGTAAATATAAGGGGAGAACGTCCAATTCTTCCATCAAAACAAGGAAAATAAAGTTGCTTAACGTTTGACATCGATAGACTCCATGTTGCCGTGGTCGGATTGTAGGAACACACATATTTACGTGTTCGACTCGGCGAGGAGAAGGTTTATATCTAGGTTAAAAATTAACAGAGTTGCAACCTGTTAACAATTTTTGTTCAATTAGTTAAATGAATTGCTGCAATATGGGTATTAATGGAAATGGGTTTGAAAAGGCTTTATCTCTATTAGAGCTCTAGATACCCGGGTATCGAGCATGCGAGTATCGAGCAATGCGAGTAGCTCGATACTCGCTCGAAACTCGTTCTTTGCTCAACTGCTCAAATGTTTGTTCAAAATTTTCGAGTTTTTGAACAATTTCATAAACAAAAGAAAATTTGTAAATTGTATTTGTCAGCAGCTGCTTTCTAATTCATGTTAAATAAATTATATTATTAAATACCAATGTAACAAAATGTAACAAATGTAATAATTTGAAAAATTTAAAAAGTTGCTACCAAAAATGTCAATATAATAAAAAAACATTGCTCAAATTACTCGAAAAAACTCGAATTGCTCGAGCTCATGCTCGAAAATTTTCGAGTAATGAGCATTGAACAAGTGTGCGAGTACTCGCTGCTCATATACCCGGGCTGTTTGAAAATGTGCGAACAAAATCGAGAGCTCTAATCTCTAAGCAACCTCCCAGGGTTGCCACCGGTTTAAAAAATCAAATTCAATTTTAATTTAGAGAATTAGATAATTCAAATATGTACCATCACAGTAAAGGCAAGAAAATGTAATCAATCTACATTTTTGTAATAATAACAATAATATAACAGTCTTATTTATTGTTAAGAGAATGTTGTAAGTATTAACTTGGAGTAAATTAGCGTCCTCAATTACTGAACTATTTCCAAAGAATTGCTTTTCTATTATCCCAAGGTTATTAAGTGCACCGAGTTTGGTACAAATTGATAAATCGGTTACCCAGATATACATTTGTGGTTATAAGTGGGCGGCGCCACGCCCATTATCCAAAAAATTATAATAGTCTATATTAATGATAAGAGGTTATTCCAAAAATCGATTTTGTGCGAATTAGCTTCAGTAGTTGCTGATTTAGCGCAGTTTTCGTGTTTCTGTAAATTACCGTTATATGGAAAGTGGGCGTGGTTATCGCCCAATTTCGAGGATTTTTAGCAGGTATCTTAGATATAGCCTAAGCAAGGCTCATACCGAGTTTGGTACGGATTGGTGAAGCGGATACTGAGATACAGCATTTCGTTGAAAGTGGACGGGGCCACTCCCATTTTACAAAAATTTCATAATAGGCCTAATTTGTTCCAAAATTTTAATTCGCATACCAATTTTCAACAATTTGGATACAATATTTACTGAAATATCGTAGATTTATCTAAATTGACATTTATCTAATTTAAAAGCTTGTATACCCAAAACTATTTCTTTAATCATCATTTATATAACACCAATGTAAAGGAAAACAAATGTTTGTTCCGAAAGAACAATATTAACAAAACTTTTTCCAATAGAAATTAGAGTAACGTAACGCCAGGTAACGTCACGTCAGATAATTGAGCTGATTAAACATACAGCTGTGGTGTAGTGGTAAGCAGTGCGTGCTTTCACTCATCAGCACCTGGGTTCAAGCCCTGGTCAAAGCAACATAGCAAAAAATATAGAAAAATTTTTTTTTCCAGTTTGGAAATACCCAGATATAATGCGCGAAGGAATTTTTTGTCCAGGACATAAGATCTATCAAATTTAAGGGATTGGCCTGCAGATGTGCAAACTGTGCAAACTTCAAAAGGAGTTGCTACCTTTGAACAATTAAATTTAAAATATTTAATAATCAATGCCATCATATCCGCACCGTTAACCGCACCGGTTGAGGTTGAACTTTTTTGAAAAGTGTTGACACCTTCTAAAAATTTATATTCAAATTATTTAAAACCGTAAATCAATTATTACAGAATGGGTATCAACCGATATGAATGGTTTTGAAAAGCTTTGTTTCTTTACTTTACTATAAAAGAGTTGTCACCTCTTTAAAAAAATAAAATTCAGTTTGAAATAAGGGAATTAGGTAAAAGAAATATGCATCAAAATATGGTACCAAACGAAAGGAGTTTCAGAAGGTAGCATGTAGTTTGAAAATATTGTAAAATATTAATATATATATAGAGGGTTGCCACCAACTTGAAATATCGAATTTAGTTAACTTATACTCAATTTATATGAAATATCAAAATATGGATGTCAAACTAAAGAGGATGTTGAGTTGTTGGAAGAGGGTCGCCACCGGTTTGAAAAGTTAAATTCAAATTATGTAATACGTTAAATAAATTATTTAAATATGGGTATCAATCGAGGGAGGTTTAAAAACTCTATTTCTGAACTATATTTAGCGGTGTTGCCGCATATTTAAAAAAATCAAATTCAACTTAAGTTATCAGTTAATTAAAATATGTACCGCAATGTCAGACGAACGTGAGTTAACAAGGTGTTAACTTGAAAATACTTTTTGAGAGGCCTGCCACCTGTTTGAAAGGTCTAACTTAGTTAACTATTACACAGGTTATATGCAATATCACAATATAGATGTCAAACGAAAGAGTTTTAAGAAATGTTTAGTTTGAACATTTAAAATGTTATTGAGGGGTTTCAAGCGGTTTGCCATATGTTTAAAAAGTTAAATTTAAATTATTCATAAAAGCTAAATTAATTACTAAAGGATAAGTATCAATCGCAATGGGTTTGAAAACTCTTTAGTTCATCAGTTTATTGAAATAAATGGGTATCACAATGTCAGACAAAGAAGATTTAAGAAGATTTTTAGTTTAAAAATTCTTTTGAAAAGGATTTCCACCTGTTTAAAAAGTCGACTTTATTTAACTTATATATACATGAAATACTAAGATATGGGTGTCACTCGAAAAAATCGAAAGGTATTTATGAAATCTTTGATTTGAAAATATCTTTGATTAGGCTGGCCACGTTTTCGAAAAGTCATATCGATCTAACTAAGTATATATGTATTTTATATGAGAAGACATTTTTTGTCATTTGTACCCTTCTTTCGAATTTCAAAAATGAGAGGTCAAATTGAACACCTGTAGATCTTTTTATCGGGATAGGGTTATTTGAAATTTGATGCAATTAAAAACCTGCACTATGCGAGACCTTTCTACACTCCGAAACGGCTGCACGGATTTAGATGAAGTATGGTAATCGGATCGCTTATATCTCTGACTAAGATTTGGAATATTTTTTAGGTTAGGGAAATTCCAGTTTGGGCGTTTTAATACCATACGAGTTCACTAGTTTTTTATAACAGCGCTTAAGCGCGGTACTTCTATTATAAGCGCCATTTGGATATGAAAATGGATTCTTCTGCACAAGCATTTCAGTAGATTTACAGACGCACATTTTCTCAGTACACTTTAGTGGAAAGAAGAATCCGAAACACGTTTTCGGCTATTTTACTGTCTGGGTCCCATATATGTTTTGTATAATAATAAGTACATACTTACGTAGTACATTTATAAAATTTACATGTATGTATACTACATTCATTTATTTTTTAAATTTACAGAGCGTTCTTCGAATACGTACCCGGATACTGGCGCATTATGGCTTCCATTTCAAACAGCTGCGGGCACTGTCACAACGCTATACAAAGGTATACAAACGTAGAAATGTTGTATCTCGTAAACTTTAAATGGACAAAGATATGTTAATGGGTTTCGTCAGGTACCATAAAATTATAGTATGATTTTCCCACTAGCGACAAAGGTGTTTAATTTGACCCATATAAATAAAGTAATTATGATATTGTAACAATCGGCCCAAGGACGCAGTATATGCCATGATTGTTTGACATAAAATAACACGAAATTCTAACATCCTGCCGTACAGCCCAAACAGTAACTGCTGATTCGAAATACTTAATCGGGCAAAATCTATAAAACAATTTCGGTTTTGAGGGTCTAAGCACAAAATAGCAAAAGAATATAGAATTTAGTCCGTATAAAATATATAAGAATCGGCTATTATATTCTGTGCCGCAAAATATGATCAGTAAATATTATTTAGAATTGGACCGGTCTTTTAAAGGTCCACTCTGCCTTTGCCTACACAGATAAAATATAAAGTACTCTTTACAAATTGATCACTAACAAATTTCCCAATTTTAATTTTGTGCCTTTTCGTGTATACAGAAGCATGCGATGGTGTCAAACGTACCAGTGATTCAGCTGTACAATGCGGCTATCAACGGCGCACGCGGGAATTGGCTGATTGGGCAAGAAGTAAAAAACGTCGTATGATACGTCGCGAGGATCTGTTAGCCTATTTGGCCGGCAAGCCGCTAACAAATACTACTCGTCGGTGAGTCGCCGCTAAAGTGGCGAAATTAAAAATACAAATCAGAAAACTCAAAACACACCCGAACAATAACAAATTTCGCAGTAAAAATGAAAGCATAAACTATATGTATCTTGGTGTTTGTTTGCTTTTTTTCTACAGATCACCAAAGCCAGAACATTCGCACACCCATTCAAACACTGGTGCTGTGTTCAACACAAACGCATCAAATCATTCACCGCCTCATATGAACTCCACACACCATCATAATGCTCAGCATCAGCATCATCCAGCAACTGGCGGTGCTACCAGTGAGCCAACCAATGATTTGCACACATTCAAAGAAGCGCTTGTCTTGCGGCCACGGTAAGGAGTTTTAACTTTCTAAAAGTGGTAGATGGTTTTATATTAAACGTATTTTATTTATTTTAGTGGACCCGAACTATTTGCATTTGTCGCCAACGAAATTGCCCGTCATTGTAAACGTCCAGCAAGCCCAATCGATGATAAAATGGATATCTGCCATTATAGCAGTAAACGTCAGCGTTTTATGTAGAAATATTGAATTTAGCTTACAAAGATAGTGTTACTGCAATTTACGCATAGTTAACCATTGAAATGGTAGTCACATGTAACCGAAAAGGATACACAAGCAAAAAATATATGTAAATTAGACTATCTCAAGGAAATACAAAAACTATTCAATACACAATATAATAACCACAATCGGCGATAAATGGCGGTAAGATTGAAAACGAATAAAATTATACTTGAATTCAAAATTTACTGAATGCGCGAAATGCTCGTTTAGTATATAAACGCTTAATGTTATTTCTACAAAATATATATTTGAAGAACGTAAGAAAGAGATGATGGAAGTACTAGTGCAAGTACTTCCAATCTACTCTTTACTAAGTGAATCTAGATACTTTCGTAGTTATCGGTAGAATAGCATACATACGATTGCGCCTTGGAACTTCTTCAGTGAAATATATTAAATTGGATTTATTTTTACTACGAGTATTGAATTTAAAGTAAAAATTTTCTTAACTAAAGTGATATGAGCGTCACCAATTAGATTACAAGTTATAAGAAAAACATTTTTGATTATTAACAATTTATTTATACATATTATTGCAATGGATCGTGATTAGTTTAAGCATAGTCACTGAAACATGCCATAACAACTAGCATATGCAAATTCCGTAAATTTACGTGCATAACTACATACATATCGTTACCTTAATATAGAAAAGCGCTAACATATTTTCTTCCGAAATTCAGCTTTGTACAAAGGTCGGTAGATTGCTCTCTAAAGGCCTAATATAATTTAAAACAAACTACTATATTAAAAATTAGTTTCAATATTTATTAATGTCCGGATTTTAAGACATTCCCAACTAAAGGACTTTAGTTTTTAAAAAGTTTTATAAATTTTATCTAAAGACACACAAATTGTAGATAGGGCTTTTCTGTATTAAGGTATTGATTTGGATGTTGTAATCTTCATGTATACAAATGCATACATATGTACATATATATATATATATATATATATGGAGTACTTTTATGGACATGCATTGAAAAATAAAACGTGATTCGAACTATGCACACAAGTATTTAGAATCTATTTTGTGGTTTGTTAAAAGTTTATTACGTTTAAGTTAAATAATCTACTTATAATAAGTACTACTATTTAAGCGTTGGGAATTAATATCAAACATCTCTCAATTCACATCCTATTTGAATGCGTTCTAAGCGTAAAAATACTGTACCATTAAAACGGTATATATATTCGTGAATATAAGTATTGAATAAAATTTTGTGAAGAGAAATCATAATCTATTGGAAACTAACAATCTCAAAGTGCTTTTATTTACATACTTCATTAAAAAGTTGTTTCATGATATTAATATGATAAGGTTACATTCGGTGGGTTATAGGTTCGATTCCTGGTTCTAGCAACAAACAAAAATTGTTTTTCTCATATCGGTCGTCCCTCGGCAGGCATTGCCAACCTCCGAGTGTATTTCTCCTGTGAAAAAAAAAAACTTTTATAAATATCAATTTATAGTTCAGAGTCGATGTGGAACTGTAGGTCCCTCAATTTGTGTCAAAACAGTAAGACGCAATACGCAAATTGGAGGAGAAGGTCGACTAAACATACTTTAAATAAAATACAGTAGCCGGCAAAGAAAGACACATGACTTTTGCTTTTCAACCTTAGAAACGGAAACGCTATTAGTTCTAGCGACTTTAAATTCATTACTTGCCTCTCTGTGTAGAGCCGGATCCATCGATTTTATGTAGTGTCCGACCGAAAGTTCGGCCTGGCTTCGGTATTCGGCCTATTCGGCTGATTTTTTATCTTCCGAATAATTAGGCCATTCACAAGGTGCTGTATTTGTCGTGAAATTACATTATTTTACGACAGTGGTTAAAATTTTGTTGTTTCGCATCTCTACATAACACTTTTGAAAATGTAAGAACTATATATGAGCCGTTTATTTTGAAAGTGGCATAAGTCACATTTTCAAAAAAATCGAGTTAACGATAACACCAATTAGAATTTGACGGTATCTGTTACTTAAAAAAGAACTGCATTGAAATGTTGAGAGTTACTGCGGTTTTGTTCGAGCGAAGTTTTACTAATGAGCGGTATAACGAAAATGTTTATTTTGAAAGTGGCATAAGTCACTCCAAAAAATCAAGTTAATGATCAGCCCTATTCTGCATTTCGATTACGTTCCCGCATTGCGCTCCGCTGGAATCGAACTTAGGTATTCTGCGTTACGATCGAAACGAATGAAGAAGAGGAAGAGAGAAAACATCTTTCGAAATCAGCTGTTTGCCTAGGAATGTGTGAAATCGAAACAAATCAAAGAAATATTTGCCACCAAACTATAGCAGCATATGAAGTTAAAGTTTGTAAATATTTTAAAATAACTAAATATACCTAGCATCACAGTAATTCAAAAATAAAATTTAAGTGGATACATAATTATAAGAATGAAATCCATTACCCCGGCGTTATTGCTTGAAGAGAAGAACGAGTCCCAGATTGCTGATGCGGAAGTGGAAAGGCGGAGATTTAGGGACATGTTTGATCTTTTTCAGATGAGTGAAGAGTCATAAGGAATTCATCTTGAACTGTATTACTCATCGCTTAAAGTCAGTGAAATTATAAACATTGTTTGAGCACTCCACAACATTTGCATTTACTGCAGAGTGGAAGATTTGAACGCAAATTTATCCCATTTTGAAAGCCGTCAGGAGGAGGGTAAGAACAAAGCTTATCTTTCCATAGCAAATCGAGTTCGAGACAACATACACACCTCTTTTTAAAAAGTTAGTAAAAACGAGTGCAATAATAAAAGCATATTTTGTATGTAACTTCACATTTTATGTATGCATGTATCTATGTGCATACATCTATTAATTTTATAAAAAAAGAATAAATTGTATTCAGTGCATTTCACAGTCTTATTTATAGATAATGTAAACAAAAAAATGCAGAATAGTGCTGGATAACATAGATTACACCGATCAAACGTACATTTTACACAAAAATAATATACACTCCCAAAACAAGGAGCCAAATATAAGTGGTATTCGCGCTTCTGTGTATTCGCTGTATCCTGCGTAAGTGTAACTTAAAGAGCGTGTGGTTGTTGTTACATGTGTATTTGATATACCGCTAGCAACAACAAATTACACGCTCATGCAGTTACGATTACACAACATACAACGAATACACATACGAGCGAATTCCCCTATAGTAAAACTGCGTTCTTAGTTTCTTTATCTGGCGTCAGGATTTTTTTTAAAAGGACTTTGAAATTTCAAAGATTTCATTAGTTCCAATAATTATTTAAAAAAATCAGTGCTATAAAGAATAACAATATGGATACCAAATAAAATATAAAATTCTGTAGAATTGATTAAATTATTAAATTTTTTGGTGCATAGCGACGACTTGGTATTGAAAATGTCCCTGCAGATTTGCAGTGTTTATTTTTGAAAAAATTATAGGTTAAGGATTATTATTATTATATAGGTTAAGGATTAATATATCCACGACCATATCCTCGAATTTCTGCCTTCTCCTTTAATAGTGTAAAAAATTAAAAACATTTAAAAGGGCATTTTCAATATCAATTTGTCCTTGTGAACCAAAATAATTAATTACATATTTTTAAATTTCAAAGAATTGATCTTTTATTTGGTACCCATATTGTTAGTCGAGATGGGAATGTTACTCATACGCCATGTACGTATGTTTGGTTCTAACTTTCCTGTGATAAATGGTAGATCCAATAAGGATCCGAAATTTTGAATTTTTAAAATCTGATTCTAGATTCGTAATCAGCGACCTGAAGAACCCCCGACTGTTCCCACGACAGCCGGTTCTACGTACCGGAATGACTCGGGTTTTACCCGACCAAGGGCTGTTGTTTCGGCGATCTAACCCCGTTTAGGTCGGCGAAATCCATCAAACGTTGCTCGATTCAAGGGCTACACCTTCTCCGCACCCTTCTGCTCAGGGCTGGCATAGAGTCATAGAGTATACCAGAGACGACTGCATACAAACTCCACCTCGGTCAGGTGCGATGCCTGTGACTTTTTGAGTCACCTCCGTAACTGCTCGGGCCTACGTACGCACCGGCAATGGACCACGTCGTTCGTGGCCCCATGCTGTGCGAACCGGACCGCCTCCTCGGCAAACCACCACCCGCCTGGGCTGCACACAATCAACACACCCACACCCCAACACAACACAACAATAGACACACAAACAAACACAATAGCACCCACACACCGCCGCCGGCAACTCCTAGTCCCTCCGACAATCTGCTCTGTTTGTCAGTCCAGAATATACCGCAACGTGACATCAGTCAAGTGCAACTCTTGCCTCGGCTGGTGCCACTTTAGGGCGTGCTCAGGACTTCGCAACACACGAGATTGGACGAGTGACTATGTGGGCCCCTGCTGTGCTGCCCCGTCGCATCCCTCCCCCGCGACGTCGCCAACCACCACCACAAGGCAGCACCCCCTTTTGCAGCACGTACAGCAGGGGGCCGGCAGGCAACACAACTCTTTAACACCACACATCACAATCGGTCTCCCAAGGCACACAAAGGTGCTACAATTTAACTGTAACGGACTCCAGAGCAAGATCGAGGAGATAACTGTCTTTATGGGAAGGCATGGAATATCAACCCTGTTGAATTGCGCCGGATACAACGTGCACCGTCGAGATCGCGAGCGAGATAATGGTAGAGGTTTAGCGTTCATCACGCACCACACCGTGCAGTATCGTCTCATTGAAGCAGACATCGACCGCAGGGATACCATCCTAGAATGTCAGGGTATTGCTATCCGGTCAGGCGATGTTGAGCTCGAAATATTTAACGTATACATACCCCCTGTCACCAGCTGCCCGGCAGGATATCACCCTGAAATAGGTGCGCTACTCAGAGGTGAAAACCGTATGGTAGTTGGTGACTTTAACGTGCACCACGATCTTTGGCACTCAAGCCTGTCAAATGATCGTAGGGGAATACATCTGACTGAGCAGATAGACATTCGACATTCTGCACAATGAACGACGACGCACCCACCAGGATTATGGGCAGCTACTGCACCTCGCCAGATCCAACAATTGTCAGCGCTGGTCTGATAAACAGCGTATCATGGCGATCTATGCTGACCCTAGCATTAGACCATCTGCCCATAGTCATCTCGATTGATAAACCTGCCGACTTTGCTTCCGTGGCTCACCGGACTTATGTCAACTTTTCCAAAGCTGACTGGAAAGGCTTCACGGATGTTACTGAGGGCGCCATCACTGCACTACCCATACCAACCGACGTTCATGTAGGTGAACGTAAGTTCCGCAGGGTTGTCACCGCTGTTGCAGCTCGCTTCATCCCAGCACGATGTATTAAGGATCCACGTCCGAATTTTCCTGCCGAAGCGGCTGTTCTAGCTGATGAGCGTGACAACCTTCGTCAGGCCGATCACGGAAATCCCCGTATTAGGGATCTCAATGCGGAGATTCGGCAACTTGTTTACGTACATAAGCGGAAGAAATGGGAAGAGCATTTGAAGACCTGCAACTTCGCCTCTGGTGTGAGCAAGCTTTGGTCAACCGTGAGGTCGTTGTCCAACCCGGCGAAGCGCGACGACAGAGTCGAGATAGACTTTGGGGACCACGCTTCGTCGGACCCGGAGAGATGCGCGAGCTATTTTAGTCGGCAGTTCATTCTGCATCCTCCGGTGGATAAAGCCAAACGTCGAGTGACCAGAAGGCTGCACAAAATGCCAAAACCTAGTGCGCCTCTTGTTTTCACCAGCGGCGAGGTAAGGGTAGCCATCGGGAAGGCGAAAGCCTCCAAAGCTATTGGCTCCGACGGAATATGCATGTAGATGCTGAAAAATTTGGGTCCTGCGGGAGTAGCGTACCTAACGGAGGTCCTCAACCTGTCTATGGCCACTGCCGTCATTCCAGACATCTAGAAAATGGGGAGAGTGGTCCCACTGCTCAAACCGGGGAAACCAGCCAACAAAGGAGAGTCCTATCGCCCGATAACTTTCCTTTCCCCGTAAAGTGCATAGCACAACAACAGCACTTAACGCCATAAACACTCAGATAACTCGTGGCCTAAACCGAAACCGCCCCTGTGAGAACTATTCTAGTAGCGTTGGACCTGTCCAAGGCGTTCGACACTGTCAGTCATTCAACGCTACTGGAAGATATAGAGGTCTCACTCCCACAGGGACTCAAACGGTGGTCAGCGAATTACCTGAGTGGTCGACACTCGTCAGTAATTTTCAGAGACAAAACTAGCAAGCCACGT